TAAAAATAAATACATTAAATTAAAATTTTAAAAAAGGAGGTCTCATAAATAAACAGTGACTAAATCTGGACTTGACCCCTAAGCTGTGTGCCTCCAAGCACACTGCTCTTTCCCTTACAACACGGTATAGGAGAGAGGGATGCCTGGCGGGGTGAAATTGCAGGAGCCAAGATGTGGAGGTGGAGCCAGGCAGGTGTTGAAGGGACACGTGACAGTGGCCTGTGCCCCTAGGGAAGCAGGGCCAGCATAGTGAACTGGGCTTCCGTGGAGAGTGGCACGGTGTAAGCAGGGACTCTTCGGTGGTGGTCTGCTTGATCCTTTGCATGATTAGCCACAGGGCATCATCTTGTGACTTGCTTCCCTTGGGCTGATTGAAGGGTGCTGGCTGGTCAGTGGCAATGGAGGGCTGCTGACAGCAGGGCCTGGGAGGCTGCAGAACTTTAAGTTCTTCTTGGGTGGAAAATGGGCCCACGTCCTGGCTGAGGGCTCTGTGGGTCCCCAGAGTCCAGGCCTGGCCCTAATGCTCTCATTCAGAACAAGGCCCTGAGTTGACACCCACCTGCAGAGAGTAGGACTGCTTGGAAGTAGCAGGGGACGGGGGTTCATACGGAATGATCACACGTGAGGGCAGGAGGTCATAGCCTCCACCCCCAGAACCAGTAGGAAGTGGAGACTGAGTTGGGAATAGTCAGGGTACGTCATGGGTGTGCCAACCTCTGGTCTCGGATGTTGCCAGCTGACCCACTAGCCACCCTCTCATCAACCTGCTGCTTCTCAGGGAAAGGACCAGCTTCATAGTGAATGAAACAGGCACATCTCTGCCCTCAGGGGGACTGATGTCTGTGGGGTTATTAGACAAGGGTGACAGACCCCACAAAATGACAAAAATACAGATATAAATTATAGGTACCAATTGTGGGGAGAGAGAGAACCTGTTAGGTGGAGTGGGCAGGGAAGACTTGTCTAAGGAGACCACCTTCTTATTTAGTTATTTATTTAATTTGTTAATTTTTGGCTGTGTTGGGTCTTTGTTGCTGTGCACGGGCTTTCTCTAGTTGCGGTGAGCGGGGGCTACTCTTCGTTGTGGTGTGTGGGCTTCTCACTGCGGTGGCTCCTCTTGTTGCAGAGCACAGGCTCTAGGTGTGCAGACCCTAGAGCACGCGGGCTTCCGTAGTTGCCGTGTGTGGGCTCAGTAGTTGCCACGCGTGGGCTCTAGGGCTTGCGGGCCTCAGTAGTTGTGGCACACGGGCTCAGGAGTTGTGGTGCCCGGGCTTAGTTGTGCTGTGGCATGTCAAAACTTCTCGGACCAGGGATCGAACCTGTGTCCCCTGCATTGACAGGCAGATTCTTAACAACTTAACAACTTAACAACAGGAGGAAGTCCAGGAGACTACCTTCTTAAACAGATACTGGGACAATGAGATGGTACTAACTATGTGAAGGTGGGTGCATGAGGTGGGATGGAGGGTGTCCCAGGCAGTGGGAACAGAGTGTGCAAGGGTCCTGAGGTGGGAAGGGGCTTGTCATACTTATGGGATGGAAAGGATGTAGGTACAGGTGAACTGCAGCAAGCAAGACTGGTGAGTGGTGCCTGGTGAGTTTGTAGGATGGCCAGGGCCAGTCTCAGAGGCCAAAGTAAGTCTTTTGGCTTTTTCAAAGTGCAACGGGAAGCCCTGGGAGGCTTTTGAGCAGGGGTGTGCCATGATCAGAAGTCAGTTTCCTCCATGCTCCTCTGGCATTGCCTCCTCTGTGAATAACTACTATACGAAATTCCAAGTGGCAGAGGGGTTGAGGGGCTGGTCCACCAGGTTTGTGGTCTAGCTCTGGCTCTCACTGAGTGACCTGGAAACTCCCAGTTTGCTCTTTGTCCATAGAGAATGCCATGACCTGCCCTGGGGGATGTTGCAAAGGGTAAAGAAGATTTCCTGCATGTGCATACATGTCCATACCTACACGGGGCCCTGCACAAGCCAGACTCTTAAATGGTAGTTCCTTGTGGCTTTCTGCTCTTCCTCTTCCTCAGGGGTCGTGAAGGTGAGCAACAGAGAGAGGCTGGAGTCAATGAGGGACCTCGCTTCTGTCTGAGTTTTAACATATTTGGAGGAAAGATAGCACATGTCCTGGTTGGGAAAATGAAATATTATAGAGTATTTGATCTGTTTAAATGAATTCATAGGTTTAACGTAACTCCATGCAAAATCCCTTTTTTTGGGAAAAATATCAATAACAATGCTGATATTTACTGAGTATATATATATATATATATATACACACACTATATGACAGGCATTGAGCTTGTGAGGCAGGTGTCACTTTTATCCCCGTTTTACAGACCAAGACCATAAGGCCTAGAGGTGATAAGCAACTTGCCAAGGTCACAGGGCTGGTGAGTGTTGAACCTGGATGATCCCATCTCCAAAGCCAGCACTCTTAAGCCCTGTATGATTATCCTAAAATGTGTACGGACTTAAACCAGTCTGGATATCAAGTGATATTCTGAATAAAAGAAGACCCCATGAGGAGGATTCTAGCCCTGCCAGATGTGAGAACCTATTTTAAAGAACCAATATTTAGATCCACATGGTATTTGCTTAAACCAAAGTCTGTGAAAGGAAATGGACAATTCAGAAATAGACCAACCAAAATCAAAAGCCTAGCATAAAAGTAGATTTTACTAAGCAAAGGATAAGGGAAGAATTATTTAATTAATGGTGACTGCATAAAAACTGGTGATGGTGCTGGTTAATTAAATCTATATTTTACCCCACACAGCAAAATGAACTTGCCATGGATAATCACCAAAGAACTAGATGTAAAATGAAGTTTTAGAAAACTAGCAGAAAATAAGACTATCAGATGGGTCGAAGAAAGGTTTGTCTGCATTGAAACAATTTTAAAAAAATCACAAAGGACCAGAATGACAGATTGAATAAAACAAAAAAGAACAATGGACTGGGAAATATTTGGATCACTTATGACAGAAGAGCAATATCTATAACATAAAAAATGCTTATTCAATGTTAGAAGAGGTTCAAGTCCCCAAAAGATGAATGGATGTGAACAGATCATTTACAGAAAGGGAAATACAGAATAGTAAATGCATGGAAAAAACATTTCTTTTTAAAGTCATCTAAGAAATACTGAAGTAACCTTGAAATACCAATAGACACTGTTAAATTGGGGAGAAAAAATGATGGTACCCAACGCTTAGAAATGTGTATTGAACTCTTTTACACTTGTTCCTGGGAGGTGCAGAGTAAGTGGGGCAGCTCTTTGGGAAGCCCTATGGCACTGTGGGGCAAGAACGCCTTGCTGTTCCTTAACCTTCCACCTGGTTATTCGACTGTCAGGAATTTGTTCCAAGTGCAGAACTAAGATACACATTAGCAAACAATTACAAGGAACCAAAATAGGCAATATTAAGAGACTGAGTGAATGGATGAGGATACCTGCACACATTAAAAATGAATTGTGTGAACAGAAGAAAAATGTTAGCGATGGTAGCAAACACAAAAGAGAATGTGTGGTTGCAACTATGTAAAGACGTGCATATAAGCGGAAGGTTTCATGTGTAAAAAGTTGCATTTTGTAGTAGTAGTATGGATACTTTATTCTTTTTTCATGTTTCTTTCTCCCTGGTTTTCTTATTCTTTTCAGTGGCAGTTAAAACAAAAACAAACAAACAAAAAAACTGGATTCAAATCTAGCCAGCAGCGTGACTTTGAGCAACTCTTGTCTGTAAAGTGGGGTAATATTTTCCAGCGCGATGGTTGAGGTCAGTAGGAAATGATTTGAGCCGCATTTGGCACCCCGGACCTCCTTCTTGCGGTGGGGGCGCCTCCTCCTCCCCGAAAGGCAGAAGCCGTCAAAGCCCTCTTGGAGACCTCCTCCCTGGGCCCGGGAGTCCAGGCACTCCTGGGTCTCCACGGCACAGGGACTCCTTCCTGCATGGAACTCTCCAGAGCAGGTGGGGATAGGGGTGTCCCACTGGCACCTGCCCTCGCTGGGGAAGGGGCAAGCTCGGGGAACATAACGCCCGTGGGCACCTCGGGTTGCGGGGCTGGCTTGTAGCCACCTTCGAGCTTCTGTCCCGACCCCGGGCCCCCTGCACTCCCGGCGGAATTCGGCAGCCGTCTTGTGCCCCCTCGCCGGGGCCCCGAGCGGCAGGAAAACTCGGATTTACAGGGCACCTCCTGCGGAAGCCTAGAGACACCGGGTGTGCCGGGGGTCCGGGTCTGACTTCGCAGACAGGGGGCACTTGGGTGCCTTCTCAGATCTCAAGGGTCGCGCCACGTCTCCGACGTGGGCCAGGCGGGAGGACGCAGCCCTCTCCCACGGCGACACGCGCCGATCTGGTATCCAGCTGTCGCTCGGTCCGTTTCTCCGCTAATGCCATCTTGCCGGAGGCTGTCACGTGCGGACGACAGCATCGCGCTTCCCCCGGCTCGGACACCAAAATCTACACAGGGACGCCACCCGGTTTCCTGGGCTCTGTCCACAACCCGAGGTGAGGCGCGGGGGCCCTTCCCTCGTGGGTTGGAGCAGGGACACGGTGGGCGCTGGGTCCCTGGGGGCGCGTCTCCCTGTCGGGGCCAGGCAGCGCGGGGTCGCAGCGCCGTCGGGGGCCGGAGGCGCCGCCGCTTGCCTTGCGCCACGGCCTCGGGGGTGTCCGCTGCAAGTTGTGGGCTGCGGGCACGTGGGGCTGGGGCGGCTGGCGGCGCTGGACCCCCCAGGACCCCAGTCCGCGGCCGCCTCGCCTCCCGCAACCGCCCAGCGATGCGGGAAGACAAGCGGGCGAGTTCTGGGAGGCCAGGCCGGGGGGCGCCACGCGTGCGGCGCGAGGGGCGCGGGCTGCCGGGAGGAGCGCGGATGGTGGGGGGGCGCGGGCGCATGCGCCCTGCGCCCGTGCCATATTGGAATGAGTCGGAGCGCTGAGCGCCGCCGCCGCCGCCTCCGCCGGAGCGCGGGTGGAGGGGGGCGGGGAGAGCTGCCGGCCGCCCCGCTCCGCGGAGCCCAGCAGGAAGAAGGGCGCTAGCGGGCGAGTGCAGGCGGCGCGAGCGGAAAAAGCGCCCGCACGGGGGAACGAAAAGAAGAAAAGAAAGAAAACAAGCGCGAGAAGGGAAAAGCGAGCGATCGAGCGAGTGCGCGCGCGAAAACTCCCGACAGGTAAAAAAGCGGGGCCGCCGACTGGGCCTTCCCGCGCGGCGGCCTGAAGGGGCGGCGGCGGCGCCGGGGCGGTGGACCGCGCGGCGTCCCCCTCGAGGCGGCCACGCAACTTTGGCAACGAAAATCCGCCGGGAGCCGAAGGGCGGCGGGCGCGCGGTCTGAGGCGCCAACGGGCGGCGGCAGCACGTTGGGGGCGGGGGCGGGGCGGGTGTGTGTGGGGGGGAAACGCGGCGCCCGCGCGCGGCCTGGCGCGTCCCCGCGCGCCGGCCTGCCGGGCAGCAGGAGCGCGCCTGGGCGCCTCGCCGCGGCGGCGGCGGCCGGCCGTCCCGGGCGGACAGCGCGCCGAGCGGCAGCCTTGGGGCGTGAAAGGAAAGTGGCCGGGCGGCGGCAACGCCGGCGCCCAAGTTCCCCGGCGCGCTGGGCCCGCCGCGCGCCCCTCCCCGCGCGTCCCGCGCTCCCGCCCGCCGAGCCCCCGCGGACCCGCCCCCCGGGCTCGCTCCGGGCCGGGGCGCGAACCCGCAGCAGGACCCGGGGGCGCGCCGCCCGCGCGGAGGTCCGAACTTCGCAGGGCCGAGGCGGCCGCTGAGCGTCTAGCGGCCGCCGCAACCGGTTGCTTCGGGCCAGCGTGGTGGAGTGCGCTGGGCCTTCCTAGCGCCGCGCGAGCGGGCCGAGGGCTTGCGGGGAGCCCGCTGCTCGACCCCAGCCGGGCTTGCCGCTCGGGAGGTCCGTGACCGTTTCGATTTCTGTTCTTAAAGTCTCGTTTTGGATCTTGAAAAGAGGCTATGGAGAGGCGAGCAGAGTGTCCTGAGAAGGCAGGCCTGCCCTGTGGGGAGCAGAAACGCCTTGTGAGAACAGAGATAAATTCCCGCGGAAAGGATGTATGTTAAGTTTTTCACAAGATGTCAGCTGCTCACTGGGTTCTAAAACTGAGCCGTAAAGGACAGGTCACCTGCACGTTTTGTTATGCGCCAGGATTGGGGTAGGACACCCTTGCCAGGGCCAGGCGTTTTATTTAGTGGGGGTTATTCCCAGCGGTTCTCTCAAAGCCATGCGGATGGACGGCCCTGAGCGAGGTTTCGTGAGCCCTACTTAGCAGTGATATAGTCTTGAGAACCAAGAAACCATCAGAGAGATTTGAAAGGAAATAAAATGGATTTTGTCAATCCCTGCATATGCCTTCTCCTCTGGAACCATATTTTTCAGATGTCACACTTTATTGCATCGCAAGCAAAATGCTTGAAAATGTAATTGTTCATTTGTCAACTGTCTTGACAGGAGGAAGGAAGATGAGTGTTTTCTTGCATACACTTTGGGGCCTGTTGGCCTCGTGTTTTGAGGGATATGTTGAATCTTTCTAGGCCACAGGTAGATTCAGAGTTGAGATTTGTTTATAATGTCAGAAAAGTAACTGCTTGGTGGAAACGGGAGTGGCCCAAGATCAGGAAACAGTTACATTACTGCTGTTGTCATTGACTAGCTGTCTTATCTTGGGTATGTTTCTTACCCTTTACAGATTTGGTTTTCCTTATTTGCAGAGTTAGAGGATGAGTGGATCATTATTCTGCTGCTTTCAGTTCTAAAATTCGGTGACTTTTTAAAGTGAACGATTAAAAAAATCTCGGTCTGTACTTTGAAAGGTTCTACATAAAAGTGCTCACAATGTGCATCTTTATTAAAATACATTTAGAGAAAATATCTTGGGAGCTCTGGATGATTTCATGTAATTATCTGGAAAGATAGTTACACATGTTTTTTAATATGTTTTTGAAATTATATATATATATATTTATTCATTTATTTATTGAGGCCTAACTTACAGTAAAATCTTAAGTACATAGAGTTCAATGACTTTTTACGTATGTATACGCTTTGGTAGCTACACTCAGATTAAGATATAGAGTATTTTCAGCCTCCCGAAGGGCTCTCTTTACATTCTTTCCGTTCAGTAAACACCTTCCCCCTCCCAAGGTGATCACTATACTGACTTCCATCACCACTGGTAAGTTTTGCTTTGCAGCAGAACTCTTTTGAGGGTGAAAGGGGGCAGTATTAATAAACTGAAGGACAACATGTGTGTAAACCTGGAGTTATGGTCATGGTCGTTTTCGCCCTAATCCTGATGCTTTTATAACAATTCTTACTTTTTTTAATATCTAAAATAACTAAAAATTCTGACCTGGGAGACTTCTTAGTCAGAAGATCACTTTTTAGCTGAGGCAGTACTGTGCAGGTTTGGATCTGTGGTTTTTGGGAGTCCTTGTGGACATGGGGCCTGTATTAATCTGTTATTTCTCGTTTTTGGAATACAGGTATATTTGCAGACATTAGGTTTGAAGGATGAATCATAAACTTTCCCAACAAGTCAGATTTAAGTTGTCAGTAGATGAGTCAGTTCCTTAAAGCCTAGAATTTGCTGAGAAAATTAAATGAAAATGGATTTTTTAAAGTTCAGTGAATTAAAGAATGTGGGCATAAAGCTTTAACAACCTTTTAAATGACGGCAATTAACTTGATTTATATATGCAGGGTATTTGCCTGGTTTATCAAATCATTAAAACTCTAGCGATGAAAGCAAAAACAAAAAGTAACTAAAAGTTGTATCAGGTGTTTTTTTCTTTTTAATTTCAACATGATTAAGATACCTTTTTGTGTTAGACCTAGGAAGTTGGGTTTTTTACATTCCCCCCCTGAAGCAAGTACTTCAGCAATTTGCTTATCCTACCCAAATGCCTTTTAGTATATTCTTGTACCCTTTCTTGTTTCTAATGCTAAAGGAGAGGAGTTAGAGGTTGTAAGTGAATTCTTGTTAGTTCTCACAAAGGTCTGTGTTTTTCTACTGCATGGCCATCTGTGTGATACAAAGTTGGGAACTGTCTGAGGCCTGTGTTAGGGATGTATGGGGCGTAGTCCACAAAGTTCAAAGATTTTCTTTTGTGAAATGATTCTGCTGAATAATTGTGTTTTTCTGTGACTAAGTCAGACAGTTAGCCAAAAACTAAGCTGAATTTGGTCACTCTACCCCAAGATTCATAGCATCATTAGGAAAGTAATTCATCACTTAGTTGTTATTGATCCACCAGTTTTTATCTCTCCTTCCTTCCTTCCTCCCTCCCTCCCTTCCTTCCTCCTTTCCTTTTTTGGTGGCTCTTTTTAGATTTCTTAGCTTTGGCATTATCAGATATTTAACTTAAAATTTGTTAAATTTTTGAGAGATGCAACTGAAGAGATGCAAAATGAGAAGCACATATGAAAGGGAATTCCGTCTTTTGTTTTTTTGTAAACTATGATTTTTCTCTTTAAAAATGCTTTTCTTATTCATAATCTTGCTGCTTCTGTAGGGTACTTTTGCTTTCACAGTGGTGACTAGACTGGGCTTAGCTGTAGAATGATGATGTAGAAGCTGATATCTTTTGACTCTGAAGTCTATAGAAAAGCTGAACTGTCCAAACTTCATTGGCCTTTTTATTATGACTTCATGTCATGTTCACATTAAAGAAATGAATACAATCCAGAAAGCAGAAGACCATAAGGCAGGTATTTTGAATGCTAAATATTTTTTATTAAATCTTTTCTATCTTATAATTTCCTGAAACTTTTCTTTCTGGATTTATTTGGCTGTTAACCAGTATTTCAAAATAATTTAAATGAGAATGAAAGAACATTTAATCAGTAAATGGTATGGTTTTGTTATGGCAGGGTATTTTTATCTCTGTAAATAGAATTTGTTTTCTAACTGGAATGTTTTGTAATTGAAAAAAAAATTTCTTCTTGTACATAGTTGTTAAATTGGCTGAAAGTCTCTGGGGATTTTGGTTACCTGGGAGATTTTGAACCATTAGACTTCAGGGAGTGGGATTTTGATATGACTGTATACTTCTTCAAGTGGAACTGGCCCCATTGGAAAATGTTTACAATAGAAAGGATGTGGTCAGGTTGTTACAAGTTCATTTTTAAGCTTTACAAAAGTGGGAGAGAGGATAAGAAGACGGGTTATTAAAAGAAAAATTATGACTTTACTGTAGACGTTTTAACAAGTTTGATTGTAAATCTTTGCCTGTTGCTGAAAGGCACCTAAAGATTTGTAGTTATTTTTTAGTCTCTTTTATTCAAGAGGATGTTTATAAATTTATTCAGCTCTTTTTGACTTTAGATCATCACTCAAGGACATAATTAAAAAGAAATGTTGTCTATATATTGTGCTAAAGGTATTAGGTCTCTGCTGAACTTTGTGGTTTGATAGTTGAGTAACTGCAGAGCCAAGCACTGGGCTGTGTGGGTAAAGGCTATACAGTGGCATTTCTAACATGGTGTACAGTGCTGCATGCAGGTGTGTTTGCTTAATCTAGAGAAAGGTTAATCACTAGACTGATTTGGGGTGGATAGGGCAGTTGAGAGTACCTGCTTGGTTTGGGAAAGTTGGTTTTGGGCTGAGATGACATTTGGAGAGGGTCTTAGATGAGAGATGGAGGGAGGTTTGTTGGCAGCTGCAAGTGCAGGACAGTCGTATTTGGAATGACAACATGAGATGGACTGAGAAATTTATCAGTCATTAAAATACCTCAAGAGTTTTTCCTGCTGAAATTCAGTTTAAAGTGTTAACCAACAAGTACTTCGATTTAATTCCAAAATATTATATATATTTTTTTACCCAGAATAGTTTTAAAATTTATTTTATTTATTCTTGGCTGCGTTGGGTCTTTGGTGCTGCGCACGGGCTTTCTCTAGTTGCGGTGAGTGGGGGCTACTCTTCCTTGCGGTGCATGGGCTTCTCATTGCGGTGGCTTCTCTTGTTATAGAGCACGGGCTCTAGGCGTGCGGGCTTCAGTAGTTGTGCCTCACGGGCTCTAGAGCGCAGGCTCAGTAGTTGTGGCGCACAGGCTTAGCTGCTCTGCGGCATGTGGGATCTTCCCGGATCAGGGAGCGAACACTTGTCCCCTGCATTAGCAGGTGGATCCTTAACTACTGTGCCACCAGGAATGTCCAGGTTTCATTTTTATTAT